TAGCCTGGTTGCATGGGGGAAGAAGCTGTCTTTGAGCCGACTGGTTCTGGCTTTTAAGCTTCTGAGCCTCCTACCACTCGGCAGCTGAGAGAACAGACAGTGACTAGGATGGGAGGGGTCCTTCATAATCCTTCTGGATTTCCTCAGGCAGCGACTGGTGTATAAATCCAATAGGTTAGGGAGCTGAACCCCGGTGATGGACTGTGCTGTCCGCACCACCCTCTGCAGAGATTTCCTCTCACGAACAGTACAGTTCCCGTACCAGGTGGTGATGCTGCCCGTCAGGATGCTTTCCACAGTGCAGGTGTAGAAGGTCTTAAGGATGCTGGGGTTCAGGCCAAACCTCCTCAGCCTTCTGAGGAAGTAGAGGCGCTGGTGGGCCTTCTTCACCACCTGTGAGGTGTGCACTGCCCATGTCAGGTCCTCGCTGATGTGAACACCGAGAAACTTAAAGCTGCTGACCCTCTCTACCGCAGTCCCATTGATGGAAATCGATGGGTGTACTCTCTCCTGCTTCCTGAAGTCCACGATCAGCTCCTTGGTCTTACTGACGTTTAGAGAGAGGTTATTCTCCTGGCACCAGTTTTCCAGGATTTTAACCTCCTCTCTGTAGGCCGATTCATCGCTGTTGGAGATCAGGCCCACAACTGTTGTGTCGTCAGCAAACTTTATGATGACGTTGGAGCTGTGTCTAGCAGTGCAGTCATTTTATATGGAATGTTGATGACGATAAAATAGGAAACATCTGAAATAATACGTTTTCTTTGGGGACTATTTTGCCTCAAAACACCCTGCATGTATCCCTCCACCATGAATGGATTTCAAAATATACACATTTTAATCCAAAACCTTCTCAAAAACATCTTAAAACAGCATCTCCTTTAAAGGCGTTCATTTAAAGGAGTTCCTGTAACGTCTGGTTCCCATAACCACCACGGTGAACAACACCGGGCAGTTTTCAGCATAATGGAGCATTTCATATCAAACCACTCTGAATGACTTTGTTTACATAATAGAGACATAATTGAGTTGAAATTTTGAAAGTTTCAAATCAAATCAAGCTTTATTGGTCACACACAGCGATACACAGCATAACATGCAGTAAAAAGCTTATACGACCGTGAAAAACAGCATATAGGATAGAAAAACATAAGACAGAACATAAAAGAAAAGGAAGAAAATATGCAAAAATATAAATAGGTATATGTGCATGTATGCAGACGGGTGCATATGTGTGCCAATGAGCAGGAAAGTAGAACTGAAAGGGGTTAATAAACATTATAAATATAGCAGTATGTGTAGTGTATGTAGGGTGTATGTGTGTCGTGCAGTAGTCTAGTTGAGTGTGTGTGTGGGTGTAAATAATCCTGATTGTTGGCCTGGTTGAGGACCCGAATGGCCTGCAGGACGAAGCTCCTCCTTATTCTCTCTGTGTTGGCCTTCAGGGAGAGGAAGTGCTTCCCTGACCACAAAAGAGAGAAGAGTCCATTGTTGGGATGGCTGAGGTCTTTCACTACCCTCTTGGCTTTGGTCCAGCACAGCTTGCTGTAGATACATTTGGTGGAATTCCCCTTTAAATTTAACCTAAAAAGAAAATGAAAACGAAACAAATGCACTAGAACAGCGTTCGGCAACATACGGCTCCAGACTCGCATGCGGCTCTTTTACTGCCCTGTTGTGGCTCCACAGCAGAATCCGATTTGTAGGTAAAAATAAAATAATCCTCCTTTACAGTAAAATAAAGCTCTGCTGATCGTTCAACACAGTTTTAACAATAAATGGTCTTAAACACTGGAGTTAATGTAGAACTGCTAATTCACCTTTTAACCCTGAAGGTTGGCGTGCAAACTGCTGGTCACCATAGCAACACGGACAACAATCTCGTCTAGCTAGCAGCTAATGAAAAAGCAAAGAGAAAGATTTAAGATGAACATCGACAATTTGGAGACGAATGGACTTATTTGCATTTATAAGCATGAATTTTTCTGTTCCACCTTAAATGGTGCAGCAGTTACATTCTGATTTCTCGTTTAAGGTGGAACGGGGAAATTCAAGGGAGAAGCTGGCGAATGATGAGCTAAAGGTAAAAGCAGAGCAAGGTTAAGTCTGCGTTTTCATTCATATTATATTTTTAGCCTATACCAGCACATCAGCACATACTGAGACATATTTACAGCCATGATGGTAAAACGTTACTTCAGTAAAATGGACATGAAATGTTGTGGCTCCCAAGGTGGTTTGATCATTGTTGAAAGGACAAAATGGCTCTTTTTAATATTTGGGTTGCCGATCCCTGACCTAAAGGAACTGCAGGGATGTTAAACTTTTGTAGTTTAGTCTCATCACACATATGTAAGCAGAAGTGAGAGAGCCATTCAGCAGTGCTGCTGCTGCTGCTGCTGCTGCTTTATCAGCGTACTGAGCTGTACAGGGGTTAGAGCTGCTTTGCAATAACTGATAATCCTCCCTGAGTCAAACAAGCCCTGAACTTCTACAATGTAATATCTCTCTTTCACACATTCTTCTTTGCCTTCCTGTCATCTCAGCCTCTCACTATCTCTCCCACATGTTCACACATACACCACACTCTCTCTACACTCTCCTTCGCTTTCTCTCTCAAAGACGCTGCATTGGTAAGACCATATTAAGTTACTGGGTTAGAGGTACTATACTGTATAGATACTACACTGATCAGGCATAACATTATGACCACCTCCTTGTTTTTATGCTCATTGTGCATTTTATCAGCTCCACTTACTATATAGGTGCACTTTGTAGTTCTGCAATTACAGACTCTAGTCCATCTGTTTCTCTGCATAGAAACACTGTGTCCACTTACTGTCCACTCTATTAGACACTCCTACATTGTCAGTCCACCTTGTAGATGTAAAGTCAGAGACAATAGCTCATCTGCTGCTGCACAGTTTGTGTTGGTCATCCTCTAGTCCTTTATCAGTGGTCACAAGACGCTGCCCACAGGACGCTGTTGGCTGGATAATTTTGGTTGGTGGACTATTCTAAGTCCAGCAGTGACACTGAGGTGCTTAAAAGCTCCAGCAGCACTGCTGTGTCTGATCCACTCATACCAGCGCAACATACGCTAACACACCACCACCACGTCAGTGTTACTGCAGTGCTGAGAATGATCCACCATCCATATAGTACCTGCTCTGTGAGGGTCCATGGGCGTCCTGACCACTGAAGAACAGGGTATACAGAGAAACAGATGGACTACAGTCTGTAATTGTAGAACCACCAAGTGCACCTATATAGTAAGCGGAGCTGATAAAATGGACAGTGAGCGTAGAAACAAGGAGGTCATAATGTTATGCCTGATCGGTGTATACAGTAACAGTGAAGTGCAGCAACTCGATATGGCATCGATTCCACAAGTGGACAGAAGACGTCTGGAGGGATGTTGAGCCGTGCCGTCTGAATAACCACCCACAGCTCTGCGGTATTTGTAGGTGCAAGATCCCATAAATGCTCGACTGGGCTCATGTTGGGCGAATGTGCAGCTCACACCATTCGTCAGTACTCTCCAGAACGCTCCTCAAACCAATTCTGGACAACTTGGGCCTGAATGCGTTATCCTGCTGGAATGTCCCATCGTTGTGGGGGTTCATGAATCCATGAAGGGCTGCATGTGGTCTCTTAGCAGTCAAACGTAGCAGTCACTGGTCAATGATGTGTTTAGGCGGACTAGTGGACCCAACCTGTGCCATGAGAACACACCCCCACCAGTATTGAATCAGAACCAGCCTGCAGAGTGCCTTGGTCTGCACCACACATGAACCCTACCATCAGCTTGAAACAACTGGTACTGTGACTTACCAGACCACGCCACATGTGGTGGCCGGCCACTGCGCTGTCCAGTGTGGGTAATGCCTTCTATGACGTATTACTGGAACACACGTGACATTGTGAATTGAGGGATGATAAATGCCCACACAACTTTGGAATCGTCCCATTAGTCCGGTGCCCACTGTCACGCCTCACTCGAATTCCTATAATTATGTCCCCGTATTTCACAGCCCGCCCGGGGTATTATCTGGATGGCCATGAGCATGACTAATACAGGTATGGCCGTTCCTAAGCCACTGAGGTAACGTTACTTCATAATCAGTTTACATACTGCTTTCCCATGACTTTTGGCATGTACATGTGTATAGTAAAAAGTCTATGTTGTCTATATTATACTGTATTGATATACTGGTACTGTATTATCAATGCATTTTTAATGTTACTGTTACTATGCTATTACTGTTACGCAATGGGTAGCACTGTCGCCTCACAGCAAGTAGGGTCTGGGTTCGATTCCCCAGCCGGGTGACCAGGGTCCTTTGCATGTTCTCCCCATGTGTGTGTGGGTTTTTTCCCACAGTCCAAAGACATGCAGTCAGGCTAATTGGCGATGCTAAGTTGCTCCTAAGTGTTTATGTCTGTGTAAATGTATATGTCTTTGTATCTGTCCTGTGATGGCCTGGCAACCTGTCCAGGGTGTTTCATGCCTTCCGCCTAATGACCGCTGGGATAGGCTCCACCACCCACTATGACCCAGGAGGATAAGTGGCTTAGATAAAGTGTGTGTGTGTATTACTAGCATATATATATTATCAATGTATTATCAATACATCATTAACGGAGCTATGTTATAACGGTACTGGTTCTATATTACAGTACTAAACAACACTTTTTCAAGTTGTGTCGTTCTTGAACGTAAAGCAGCATCATTCCCTTCTAGGTATATTTCCGGTTTCGGAAAATTCAGGTTTTTTTTCCCTTGTATCGGACGGATTTGTGCCTTTGATGGTAAAGCAGAAAGTGCATCTCTCTTTCCTCTGCATATTTCTCACATTTACATACAGCTCTCTCCCTCTCTCTCCCTCTCTCTCTCTAACAGTGCCAGCCTCTGACTAATCATAACGGATTCCTTCAGCACCCTTACTCCCCCCCTTCACTGCTTTTCCCCCAGCATGCACTGCGACAGGCTGAGCCGTTAGGGCTCTATATAAAGGCGTGTGTGGTAGAGGGAGATTGCCGTGCAGCAGGGGTCACTCAGACTGAGAGGAAGCAGGACAGGGACAGCCTTCACTGGACACAAACCCGGCCACACGAGAGAGAGAGAGGTCAGTATAGAGGACGCAGAGAAAGAGAGAGAGAGAGAGAGAGAGAGAGAGAGAGAGACGGCATTAGGGGGAATGAGTGGGAATGAGCTTATGCTGGAGAGAGAGAGAGAGAGAGAGAGAGAGGAGAGAGAGAGAGAGAGAGAGTATGTGATACAGGTGGGAATGAGCTTGTGTTCATGTTGAATAGCTGAAGACAGACAGAAAATACATGGTATGACATAATGCATAACATATATTTACATACATCAGTATAATTTATACAGTAAGCAGCATTATATTATACTGTATTATATAATACTATATACTGTATATATACAGTGTATGGCATTATACATGTAGTGTGTCAGCCTGCATATCTATACTTGCTGATTATGTACTGTAAGCAGTTTATCTGGATGGCTTGTATTTAAGTGGTTTAAGAAGTCTTTTAGCTCTTGGTTTTGATGGTAAATAACTGGACACTGGACAGAAGGTGGTGAGCAAAGGAAAGCTCTGTGGTCTTCATGGTGCATGAGGATGAGGGTCATGCACATATACTTAAAGAGAAAACAGGGTAAATTGTTTAAGGTCATTTTCACGTCTTAGCAACTGCAGGACAGTGGTTCGGCTAGTAAATAACTGGACACAAAGTTGGACAAAGCAGTGAGGCTGGGAAAAACTCAGGATGCATTAGAATGAGGGGGACAGAGAGACGCACGCCCGCTTTGTTTTGACAGCTGGGGCCGCAGCGTCACATGGACACGAGCTTCACATTGGAATTATCCGTTCCACCTTAAGTGGCGCGGCGTTTACAGTTTCAAGCGTCTGCACAGTGCGGACGCCAGAATGTAACCGCCGCGCCACTTAAGGTGGAACGGAAAATTTGAATAAGAAGCCGGCGAATACGGGTGAAGACTGGAGAGGAGACTGCAGCCCTGCTGCAGAAGGGCTAGCTTGGTTGGGAAACAGAGCACTGGACGCAGTTTCTGCACTTTCCTTTAACATTCTCGTCACCCGTTCACTGTCGACATCCAGGGTCAGTGTGGCCATAGAAACGTCTTGTGTAACACCGCGTATTTCACAGCCCGCCCGCACTCGGACCACCCTGTGCTGCCATCGACCCTCCAGAGACGCCTGTGGTCAGTTTAGGCCCATCAGGACGGGGATAAACACGCTAATGAAGACTGCTAAGCGCTCTTTACTGGCTTGTAAACACAGCTTTGCCCACTTTCCTCCTCTGACGTCACGCGCAGCACTCTTAAAGGCGCGCAGGCACTGTTGCCACGGCAACGGATTAGCCGCTTAGCTGGATGTACACAGTTTGGAATCACTGGTCCTATTTTTATTATTATTATTCACTGATTTACTCAGTAATAACTTATACAAAATTGAAATACTTTAAATGAGACACTCAAAGGATATTTCTGACAGTTTCTGGTAACTAAAGGAGTTAAAGGAAGGCTAATAAATGCTAACTGCGGATTTGATAACTCAGCTTCATCTGGACTTTCATTTTATTATAATTTGATTCTCAGTCCAGCTTTTTCAGTCACACACAGCTCTGTTCTTCATTCTGGACACATCTAACCCCAGATGTGGGCCACTTCTGGCAAACGTATGGCACTGCTGGCCCACTGTTGGCACTGGCTAATTGCACGCCAGCCAAAAATGACCCACATTAAAACATGCTTATTTGGCAGGTCTTAAAACAGAACTGGGCCTTTTCTGGCAGAAATATGGCTGTGCTGCCTATGCACTAACACTGGCAAACTGAATGTGAACAAAAAGTGGCCAACATTAAAGAGTTTTAATGTCTTAAAACAGATCTGAGCCACTTTCTGGCGGCAACATGGTGGTATACTGGCCTATGTGACGTTTTTTTGCTAACTAACAAACTGCTAGTCCAACACAGTCTACCTCAATACTAGGAACATTATGCAATGTTATAGTTTGCAACATCGTTCAAACCATCAGTCGTTTGCTATTGGATTCTTTTCACAGCCTCCTACTAACATTTTGATACCAGGACTAGCATATTAGCATCATTTTATGCATGTATGCGCAACAGGTATGAATATTGATATCATAGTCGTTCCACATATTTGAATGGTGATTCCAAACTTCTGAACAGAAGTGTTGAAGAAGCATATAGCAGGGCTGCCCAAGTTTTTTGCAGTGTTTGTGGCTGGCAGAGGTCCAAACATCGTACAAATAAAGCAGGAGGTAGGTTTCACACTTGATTTTATGAAAATACTTAAAAAATACCACCTAAATGGAAAATATGAATTAGATAAGTGATATATAGTATAGAAATGTGGCTGTTCTTTCACTGAGTGGGAGGGTGGGGTTTCTGGTGGGCCAAATCATATGTTCTCATGGGTCAGCTTTAGTCTGTGCTCTATACTTTGGGCAGCCCTGGCGTAAAGGGTGTATGAAGTCGTCTCTTTCTCTTATGGTGGCCATGGTATCAGTGGACAGCTGCAGGAGAAGGGGGTCTTTTTTTAGCTGAACTGCATGACTGAAGGAACGGTAGCAGGTGATGCATGAGGCACAGAGCTGGAACTTGAGTTGAAGAAGAGTTTTTGGCTTCCCTCTTTAGAAACCTCTAACACTTTCGAAGAAGGCCACAGCCGTGTGTCTATGCGCTCTAGAGCAGTGGTTCCCAATCCTGGTCCTGGAACATGCCGTCCACTGTCCATTTAATTGGATCATGTGCATTGGAGCAGGAAAGCACCGAAACATGCATTCTCCAGGACCAGGTTGGAACCACTACTGGAGAACTACCACAGCTGCATAGACTTAAGATAGATAATTAGATTTAAGGGGCCTATATGTTCTAAATGTTTCTACTATTTTACCCTTTTTCCTTCTTTCCTTTTTTCCCCCAGTTGTAAAGTTTTTGTGAGTTTCTATATCAAAAACAGCTGCAATTCATTTTCAGACCTCGCTTTACCCCTTAGACGAGTGGTCACCAGTCCTCTTTCTGAACATCAGTTCTCTTGCAGATTTCAATATTAACCTGTATCTAATATGCTGCTGCCTTAAGTCAAGTCAAGTCAGCTTTACTGTCAGTACTACAATATGTACAGGACATATAGAATATTGAAATTGCGTCACCCTCAGACCCCATGGTGTAAACACTAAACACTAATCGTAAACAAAATAAACACTAATTGTAGAAAAATAGAATAATAAAAAGATAAAAATAATAATATAAATAATATAAATGTAAGAAGGTCCTGAAATTAACACTAAAGTGACATAAGGCACTTGACTTGACTTGACTTGACTTGACTTAACCTGTATCTAACATGCTGCCCTGCCCCCTTACGTAACTCCAGTGCATCTGGTCCAGCCAATCAAGGACTTGTGAAGAAGTTAAATAGGTGGGGCAAGAGTGGCCAGTTCTGGTTGGAACTAGGCTCTGCAGGAAGGTAGATCTCCAGGATCAAGGTTGGTGACCACAGCCTTAGACAAACTATTTCTATCACTGGACCTTAAGGCTGATTTATGACCACGCCATTAGCAATAGGCTCATGCACAAATAGACAGTAGGCTAACGTCTAACCTAATGGCTAACTATTCACCAGAGGAGACCAGATTTTACCTTCTCTGATCTCCACAGAAGACTGTAGTACCCACTGACTAACTACTATATGTAGCCTAGCTTATAGCTATCAAGTCAGAACAAAACTTTTCATGAACAGCCATGAGCAGCACAATGTTTAATCGTTTTCCCACATCTTCCCCTCCAGTAAATCTGCTACAGACTGTCTGCAGGAACAACACTCCATATCACTTCAACATAAGTGTGTGGAGCTAAACTGAATTGGCAGTTATGTGTAACTGTGGTCATAGTCGACGTCATAACCATGGTCAATTTGAAAAGGGATATTTTTGCCACTTGGTAAAGCTGGTAACCGAAACTGCGTGTTGAAATTTGTTTGGGGTGAGGGGGTTGTTGGGAGGCTACTGTCTAACTATTTGTTGGGAGTTCAATCCCCAGCAATGCCACAGTCATCCAGGAGTCCAGGGCAGCATAACTGTCCTTGCTATGTATGGTTGGGTAGGGTGGTCCTCGTTCCTCCATCACTCAGCACAATGCAAGTCAAATGCAAGTCAGATATGGGTTAGCTTAGCAGTTAATGTTCTCCTCTAAGTGTGTTGAGCTGTTCAGTGATGTTGTGTTAGCAGCAGTTTGAAAAGATGTAGGGCTTGCCTTCACCCTCCCAGTGTGGTAGCTGGGGGGACCTAACTAGGGGCCGTGACTAATTTAGGGGAAAACAATTGAATAACAATGCAAAAAAAGATATTACATCAAACTATTTTATTTTAAAAAAGCAAGAAAAATCAGTTTACTATAATTTTGGCCTGTTAAATTATGCTAATTAATGGCTGAATATGAACCTAGATCTGAATAAACTCTACTGACGTGAAGTGGCACTTCATAGCAGCAATCAAAAGGCCAATGTGTACTAATTTATAGATCTAAAAATAGAAGCTACATCCTTGAAAAAGATGGTTCTTCAAGGGTTCTTTAGTAAAGAATCATTCAAACACTCAAAGAACTCTTTGCATGATTAAATGGTTCTTTGCATTACAAGAAAGTTTCTTCTGATTGATGGAGAATGTGCTGTAGATGGTTCTATATAGCACCTTCTTAAAAAAAGTCTTCTATATATCACCCAAACGGTTCTCAGAAGGGGTCACGAACCCTTTTGGGTGCTATATAGAACCCTTTTCAAAAATGTGTTTCATTTCCAACACATTCTGAGGAACCCTTTTATGATGCAAAGAACTGTTTAATCATGCAAAGAGTTCTTGGAGTGTTCATGGTTTTTTACTAAAGAGCCCTTAAAGAACCACCTTTTTGAAGAGTGTATAGTATGTAGTTTTAACAAAATGTAACATCTCATCAGTTATGTAATGTAACTGGACATGTTGCCGTGGGAAACTGTATCCGTAACAGCAGGAGGTGGGACCCTCCTGAACTGCTGATGGAGCCGGGGTCCAATTTAGAA